ATTCTATGGTGAGTCTGGTCTCTTGGTGAAGCAGTGTCAGGACAAGTGAATGTTAATAGAAGACATCAGTGATGAAAATTTATGTAACTTACTGCATGGTTCACTGGATTGTTCTCTCTTCTTTTACCTAGCTGGAACTGTGTTAGTGTGAAGTATTCCTTTTGCTTTAGGCGGTTAGAATTTTAATGGTCTTTTATTTGGGAATCCTTTCTCCCTGGTGAAAGCAAATGAAAGCGTTACTTCATGTGTTGCTGAAGTTGCTCAAAATCTGGGCTGCTGTCAGAAGGGATGATCCTGCCCCGTTCCCAGCTAAGTGTTGCCACCACCTTCTTTTCTGTGTTCGTGCAGTGTGCCTGCTTAGAAAGCTGTTTTGACAGCTCTTGTATCAGTGCTCTGATCTTGCTGACAGAAAGGGCAGTGTGATCTTCTATCAGTTTTAGCCAGTTGTAAAACTGCATCTTGAGGCCATGGTGACCTGAAGCGCTATGACACAATCTGGACACTTGCTGCTGTTGAGAGGAGAAGATCCTGCTTCTATTCTTCTCCTTTCAGAGGCTCCTGGCACTCTTCAGATCCTTCTGTGAGTTGATTCAACTAGATAATGTGAAAGAAAATGAGTCATTGATTCCACCTGGACTATAAGCTGGTTCAGAAGGAGAGCTAAGGTGGGCTGAAGGAGGTGGAAGGTGGGAGAGGAGAGCTGGGCAGCCCAGAGCAGGGGGAGAGGAGACAGGATTTCCCTTGAGCTATCAATGAGCCTGGCATCCTGTCGCACAGCTTTGCTGGACTGGGTTATGAAAACCATATTATGACACAGTGTGAAGGTTTACAGCCTGGATGTTGATGTTTCGTAGTGATAGTTGTTCCACTTCAGTCTTAATGCTTCGTGCACACACCAGATGTACAGATTTATAGATAGAAAAAGTTGCAGGCTGCTGTTTTGGTTCAAGAGAGCTTGTAGGGCTTCTTGTTTCTGTACATTAAATGAATAAATACAAGAGTGAGAGATGAGTAGTGAATTCTCTTTTTTTCATTTTGCAGATGTTCTACTAATAAGTGTATCTAAGCAGCTCTTTTAGAACTGCTGGTATATTAAAGCACAAATTGAGCAGTTTGAGATTCAGAGTTTGTGTGTTTATATACATATATACAAGTCTGCATAAGTCAAAGTTTAGAGAAAATTTATACTTTACATGGGAAGGTTTGAATGCTGTCTATCAATGCTACATACCTGTGACTTAGAAAAGAATTTAGTAGTGGGCTTTGCTGCTATTAAATTCAAATAATCATTGATCAGATACTTAAATAGCCAAGATTAAGTGCTGTTTTAATTACTTCCTTCTTTTGTATGACAAGTTTTTTTTACCATGACAGTAGGTAAGAATAGCTATAAGGTGAACAGCCTGAAATAGCTTTTTATTATTATTTTGATTGTTTGTTTGTTTTTTTTTTTTTCCTTTAGCTGGAAGTTGTTTAAAATGTCTGTGATGTTATTGCTCCCAATCCAGATGGCTTTCTGCCTCTGTTTCAGTCACTCGATGTGATACTGTTGGTTAGTCACTAGTGCCACCACACGTGTTACAGTTTGGTCCGTGACTCACTCTCATGGCTGTCTTACGTTGGCCATCAGTGTTATTCTCAGTATAAATACTTGCTCTTTCTTGACCTCTGTGATGTCAGCCACTGTTGGAAACTGGGTGCTGACTGTAAAAGACACCCTTTTCCTTGAGGAAGGAAATATTTAGTAAGTGCCTAACAGCAAGAATAGCTTCCCAGCATGCTCAGGTTGGTGTGATAATTGCTCTTCCCTTTTTAATTGAAAATATTCTGATGTCTGTGTTGGACGTCTGTCATTATAAACAAGTATCTTACAAGAACTTTGTAACTCCATGCATTGTGGTGCCTAGGGTATAAGGTGTGTAACAGCATTTTTAAGTCTTGCTTCTTTAAACATTTTAAACTCTTGATATGCTGAAGTGGTTTCAACAATTGCAAATGTTGTGGAAAACATCTAAAAGAGGATGAAAATAGAAAAGATGTTGTGCTGAATTAAAATAGAAATTGTGAACAAAATAACTACATAGAACAGATTAACGTTTTCTTGCTGCTGTACCTGTTAAAGGAACGCTTTATACCAGTGATACCATGATGGCCACAGAAAATAACTGAAAATGTAGTGTGCACATCCAAGTATGAAAAGTATTTAGTTTTAGGCAATTCAAATGATTTTTCAGTGACTTCTGTTGTCATTTACAACAAAATTGCAGCTAAGATTTTATGGATGGAAGCAGCTTGATGGACGAAAAGAAATAATATCCCCTTTAAATAGTATCTTGTTAAAGATATACTGATTGCTAATGAGGAACTCGAGACCTTCTTTAGATTTTTTGGGGTAGATGCCATGTTATTAGAATAGGGTAGTCTGTGTTGCGTGATGGGGTTAAAGAGTTTATTTCTTGTCTTCAGACAATTTAAGAGATCACACACGTGTGTTCATGAGGTTTGTACGGGCCCATCTCTCAAGCCTGCCCAGGTCCCTCTGGATGGCATCCCTTCCCTCCAGCGTCTTGACTGCGCCACACAGCTGCTTTTTGTTTTGATTCAATCTGGGGCAGTGTAGTGGATTTTTTTGGGAATGAGGAGCTGATGGTAGTAAACTATTATTTGGTGGTGATGATGATGACAGGAGCTCCCTAGTTGTTGCTTCTGTTGCGGAAAAGTATTTTTTCTTGTGTATTTATGCTTTCTGAAAGTTAGAGGTTTTTTGTTTGCCTTTAATGAAAACTCTACTATTTTTTTATCTGATACAAGTGAAATACTAAACGATCCATGTATTTTGTGTGGTAACAAGATGTGTTGGCAGCAGTTATGCTTGTGTGGATCCTCTTTGCTAAGGCTGACTGGAAAGTTTTTGGACTGAGTTGGGCCTCGTTATTCAGTGTATTTCCGTGGCAGTTAGAGGTGAGACTTAAGTGTGTTGTCTCATATCTAAGGCGGCTGTGAACTGGTGAGCTGCTGGTAGCACAGCTGCAGTACCCAAGAGCTGCTTCCAGCATTCAGCTGGGCTCCATGCTGGTTTTGGACAGGCTATTCCACTGGGGACTGGTGAACTTTAGGAGATTTCAGTTCTTGAGAGCCATCTCTCTTTCTCTGCTGGAGATTTTAATCTCTTGGATTTTTCCAAATGTCAGGTGAGCAATTTTATACATTAATGGTAACTGGAGGAATAGAAACCAGTACTGAGGAATGAGGCAGAGATGGACTGTGAATACTTTAAAGTGGTAGTTTAAATAATACTATTTGTTTAACAATGGTGATCAGTAAAAGTTAGCACTGAACAGCCCTTTATAATATGTATAAAATATTAATAGCTTGTTTGTCAATAAAAAGCTATGCTTCTCCAGTAGTTGATTTTTGTGCTGCTGATATATTTGGTTATCCCTTGTAGGCACAGTCAGCTTTCCCCTCTGCTTGCTTGCTTATTTATTTCATTGCCAGGTGTCTGTATCAAGCAAGGGATTACAAAGAGGCTTTCTGAAGTACCACCGTTGCATTTCTGATGTCAAAGGACAACGATGCATATGACAATGAAGTGTTTGATTTAAAAGCCTACCAATTTCAAAGAGTTGAATTTCTGTGAAATAGGAGTATCAAACAAATTTGACTTACTATAAATGAAGTATTAGCTCTTGCTTATCATAAAGTTTCTATTTAATTGGCGAGGCTCTGAGCAATCTGATCTAGTTAGAGAAGTCCCTGCTTATTGCAGCAGGGGTGCACTAGGTGACCTTTAAGGGTCCCTTCCAACCCGAACTATTCTATGGTTCTTTGATTTGCTGATGAGCTTGTTTGCATCTGTTCTGTGATGGATAAAGAACAGCAGCCCAGTGTATTGGTTACATCCTGCTTTTTCTGCCCGTGCTGTAATAGGGGAAATACCTTCAGTTAAGCAGAAGAGGCCTGATTTCAGAGCAGGAAAGGCAAGGAGTGATAAAAGTAGTGGAAAGCTTTAACAGTAGTGGAGTTGCACATTCTGGCTTACTTTTTTTACAAGTGGTGATTTCCCACATCTCATGATGTCCGACAAGAGTTAGAAACTTGTAGGGCAACTTGTCTTAATTGGAGAAGTGATTTACAGTAGGGTTTTATTACAACATTTCCCATCCCTATGTCAGCTGAAGAGCATTGTCTGGGTGAAGAGGAAGGTAAATACTTCAGGGAATGGTAGCTGAAGGGAAGATGCATCTTTAGAGAGCAGTAATCAAAAGATAAAACTTGAAAGGAAAGAAAAACTAGTGGTAGCAATAAGAGTAAATAAAAATGTCTTCAAATCTGAAGAAAAAGTAATCAGGAAGCCAGTGTAGTGAACGGAAGTAGATCACACAAAGGGCTCCCCTCTACCCTGCAGTGGATTTAGTTTACGCAGTGGGTTAAATTCACAGAAGATTATCTTTCTTTAAGGCTGAAAGCAAATTGAGATAAATGTCTTTGGAGGAAAATGTTACTTTCTATTAGAGCTGAAGGTTATTTTCTTGCAATTAATATAGACTTTTCATTTGTGGTCAACTAACGGGAAATTTGCAAAAACAAGATTAGGAAATTGATCGTGTTTCCATATTAAATATTGTTGTGCTTCATCCAAGAAGCATGCTTTGTATTTTATGTAGGTAAATACTTCTAGAGAAAATCTAAATTGAATTTCTAACTTTGTTGTATCTAACCTCTAACTAATTATTTTTTTCACTTATTACTTTGTCATAATGACATAAACATCTCAACAATAGTGCTTTACCAGGCAAATGCTTCTATTATACTAAATGGAATTAATGAGTAAAAATGTGCTTATGTGTTTGCAATACTGGCATTTGTGACCCCAGACCTGCAAGTTGAGCTGTACAAGAAGGCTTGTGTAAACTTTCCAAAGGCTTTAAAATGTGTGTCTAATTATAGAAGGTTAAGTGTACTCAATTTTAATTTTTTTTTTTTTTTTTTTCCCCAAGGCCATGTGGTTATGATATTATTGAGATTCCATAATGCCTCCTGCTGTGATGGACAGCCTTGACATCTGGGCAGTGGATTCACAGATTGGTGCTGATGGCTCAATATCTGTCGACTTCCTGTTGCCCACTGGAATCTACATCAAACTGGATGTCCCTCGAGATGCCACCATATCTCATATTAAGCAGGTAATACCAAAGGGTCAATTAACTTAAAAGTTAACTTACGTTTGGAATAAGTGCTGGGTTTGATTTTTATGTGCCTTTTGGCAAAACAAGTAATGAATTTGAGTAGGCATAATGTTTTGATGGCACATGCATAGCAGATTGATTAGTAAAGATCTGTCTGGGGGTTGGGAATGTTTTTGGGCAGATGGCAAGGTTCGGAGAAATTACTTCTTGCTGATGGTTACACTTCAGCAGAGATTATTCTAATAGCTCTATAGTAATGCTGTATTGCTACACCTAAATCTTTTTTTAATGCATTGATTTAACATTTCTCCAATTAGTGGGCAAACAGGAGACACTGTGTCTAATTTGATTTTTAATATAGAAGTCACAGACTGTGCTTCTGCTTCCTTTGATTGACACCAAAGATAGATGCTTAAAAAACTATGTATGCCATTTCTTAAAGGTTGCGTACAAGTGCCTTGTTAGGGCATGACTTAAAAAGTGAGGGAACACTCAAATCAAAGGAGAGAGAGCAAGCAAGGAAATAGCCACAGATATTAAAGAGTAATCTACTGATCTTTCATCAGATAATGGCCATGTGAGGGCATTTAGACAAGTTACCGTGGAATTAGGTAGCGAGTGCATGACAACACCAAGTAATCTGCTCCTTAAGCATAATGAACTTCTAAAAGACAATAAAGTGTGGTTTCTCATTCAGTTGCATTGCCTGGTAAATAAGGACGTTGTTTTTCATTCCTATTCTTTCTGACAGTATTCACTTGTTTATAGAAATCGTGTTCTTTGTATCAGTAGTAGCTTCATGTAATTTATTGTACTCCTTGTTCGAAACTTTCTAGACACTGAAATAATTTTTTTTATGCAGTGGATCACTTAGTATTTTAGAAGAAATCAGAGTGCCCCAAGAAATTGAAGTGATCCGATAAATAAATTTTGTGCTATACTCAAATATTTGAAATTATTCTGACTGGAGAAAATATCGTTGTAGTTTTAGTAAAAGGGTAACCTGGGCAACTACAGGTTAGCTGGTGGGTAAGATAATGGAATAGCGAATTGTGATTTCAATTGATAAAGAATTTAAAAAAAGTGTGTAAGTGACAACAAGAAGGGACTTGAACTAAGCTGTCTGCTATAAACAGGTACTGTTGGTATTTAGCTGTTTTTCAAAGGAAAGGAGTGTTTATCATAACTGCAGAAGTCTTTCATGGAAATCACTGTATTTGAAAACAAAACAATAATGAGGACTTGGATGGCATACTGGACTAGGAGCTTTGCTCCCACCACATTGCTGTGACAAACCCTGATTGTGGACCTAGGGATGTATAGAGGACTTGAGAGTAAATATAAGGATTTTATTTTGTATATTAAACTGTTAAGATTAAAATAAGAGAAAAGAAGAAAAATAGCCAATTATTTGAGGGCTGAAGAATTTTTCATTTCTGTAGACTTTATAATTCTAGCAGGACAGTACTTTGGGTGGTGGCAAATGGCTGCTTTCAGTGGAAGTCAGTTCATGGCTTTTTGAATTTTACAACCATTAAGTGATATAATAAATACCAGTAGCTGGAAATTGAAGTTAGGCCTCATAGTACTTGTCCCTATATGTTTTCTATCCTTGGGACATTTTTGCACACAAGCTGCTGCTTAAAAATAACCTCAAGATAGTGACTACAAACAAGACAAAGTAAATACATAATGATATTTAGGGATAAAAAATTAACTAGGTTAGCAAACATGTTACTCCTATGTTCTTTCAGGAACAGAAATGGAAATTATTGTTACCCTCAGGGCCATGAGATATGTCCGTGCTTTCTTGTTTAGTTTCACTTATTTATTTTCTTTGCAGCTGTTATGGAAGCAGGCACCTGCCTACCCGCTCTTCCATCTCCTCATGGAGATTGACTCTTACATGTTCTCATGCGTGAATCAGACTGCTGTACGTGAAAAACTAGAGGATGAAACACGCAGACTTTGTGATGTTAGACCCTTTCTTCCTGTCCTTAAACTAGTGACAAGGAATTGTGATCCAGGAGAAAAGTTGGATTCCAAAATAGGTGTCCTTATAGGCAAAGGTAATTACGCTTTGTTTTTTTTTTTAAAATGAGGGTAAACTTTCTTTTGTGTATAATTGGGCAGGTGACAGTGGGAAAAAAAAAAAAAGGATAAAAATTAAGTATTTCCCTGACAGAATTTTCTTTCATAAAACTAATACTGATGTAGTTTAAAAGAATTTAAGTACTTAAGACAAAACTTCTGGAAGTTGTTGAAAGCTACTTTCTGTATTGTATTTTGGCACCGTATTGCATTACTACATAAATCAAGAGCAAATTTTATCTTACTAGACGAGGGAAAAATCTATAATATTATTACTAAGTAAAGGAAAATATAATCCCTGAAAAGTGTTATCATAAAGAGCCTAACAGCAAACTGGATCCACAGAAGGAACTAGAAATCATTATGGTTTTGTTATACACAGTTTCTGAGTTGGTTAACAATATGATTCTTGTTTTTGCTCTCAGTTGTGGCACTGATTTTCAGCAAACAATGAAAAGCTATTTTTAAAGGTTTCACACTAACTTGTTCTTGATGTTATTTCAGAATTTTGAGCTTTTAAATCTACTCTGCTTGGTTATACAATCGAGATTGACAGGGTCGTGTGAGGTCATACCTCTTGTTTTAGAACAATGAACCATTGTTAGCTCTTTTTATAAAGACTGCAGGTTTTGTTTAGATTTCAGCAGTACACTGTCTGCCTATTTGTTAAAACTGACAATGGAAACAGTTAGCCAGTTTAACCATTCCGACAGATTCTGACAGATTTTGAGAGATTCCCATTCTTTGATTGAATATTTTGCTTATTATAGCTGTGCAAGATCCTTCCTCATGCAGCCTCTATTCTGTACCTTAGCAGTGCAAAAAATGTGTTCCTGTCTAAGCTGCTAAACTTAGTGTTTTGTTCTCAAAAGGTGAGAACGGTGCTTTGTGTAATTTGGACAATGTCCTTCAAAGTTCAGGAGAAAAGAAAAAAAGAAACTCTCGCAGGCCCTGTACTTCCTGAAGAAGCGCAGAATCACAGCTGTGCGGACTCTCCACTGTGTATTCTCTCTTTACATATTTCAGAAAAGAAACTTTATAGGTCTTGAATTGGTTGAAATTTCAGTCCTGTCATTTTGACTTGAGTAGAAGATTTTAAGTACAAAGGAAATTCAAGAATAAATTTACCTGTCCCTCTTTTTTTGATTTTTAAAAGAAATAAAAAAGGTGATACCATCTTTCTGTGGGATTTAAAAAAATACAAAGAAATTGCAAACGCTTCTTCCCTTCTGTGGTCTTTATGATGCATTTGCTGTGCTTTCTTTGTATTTGCTCTTGTAAGGAGAGGGGTAAAACTTTCCAAACTCTTGAACTCAGAGCTCAGTTGGGAGGGATTCTGTGGGAAGCTTCCACGGAGTTCAAAGGAGTTAGTGAGTACTGGGAGTTTTTCAAGAACGCTCTCCTGGAAGCACAAAAACGGTTCATCCCCTTTAAAGGAAAGGGAAGTAGGTGGAGCAAGAGACCCCCTTGGCTTGACTGGGGGCTTTTCAGTCTGCTCAAAATGAAAAGAGAAGCCTACCAGAACTGGAAAAGCAGATAAATACCTGTTGAGGAGGAATACCTGTTGAGAACTACCAGGGCATTGCCAAGGTGTGCAGAGATGCAGTTAGAAAGACAAAAGCTCAGCTTAAATTGAAATTGGCCAGAGATGTCAAAAACTGCAGGAAAGGGTTCTTCAGGTACATAAACAACAAGCAGAAACAGAAAGAAAATACTGGCCCACTAAACAGGAGAGGTGAATTAGTCTCCAGCAACACTGAAAAGGCAGAGGTTCTCAACACTTTCTTCAGGTCTGTCTTTCCCAGCACTGCTGGGCCCCAGGCCTTGTGTCCTAGTGTGGCCCCAGCTGGCAACAGAGAACTGGATGGTCTTTAACTCACTGCCCCCCCAGCAGTAGGAACAGGGGAAGAATCAGAAGGGCAAAACTCATGGATTGAGATAAAGGCAGTTTAACAGAACAGTGAAGGAAAAAGGAAAACAACAACAATAATACTGATAGAGGAATATACGAAATGTGATTGATGTCCAGCTGCTCGCCAGCTGGAGCCCAAAGCCCAGCCCGCTCACCAAGGGCAAACCTGACCACCTTCTACAACAAAGTACCCTGTGCAGTTGATGAGGGGGGCCTGGTGGATTTTGACTACCTGCATTTCTCCAGGGCTTTAGACACAGTTCCCCACAGCCTCCTCCTAGAGAAACTGACACATTACGGTCTAGACAAGTGTTCTGTTCGGTGGATGGGGAACTGGCTGACACACCACCCCAAAGAGTCGTGGTAAATAGCTCTGTTTCAAACTGGCAACCTGTCACAAGTGTAGTCCCCTGAGGATTGATATTGGGCCTGATGCTGTTTAATATCTTCATAAGTGATCTGGATGATGGGGTCAAGTATACCCTGATGAAGTTTGCTGATGATACCAAACTGAGTGGGGAAGTGGGCATTTTGAAGGGAAACCACCCTGCAGGCAGGTCTGGATAGGCTGGAAGAGTGGGCTAACATGAACCTTATGAAGTTCAACAAGGCCCAGCAGCACAGGTTGGGATCTACCCAGCTGGGGAGCAGCTCTGTGGAAAGGGACCTGGAGGCCCTGGTGGACAACAAGCTCAATAGGAATGAACAGCGTGTTGCAGCAGCCGAGAGAGCCACACCTGGAATACTGTGTTCAGTTTTGGTCCTTGCTATGCAAACAAGATGTGGATGGGCTGGAGAAGGTCCAGAGAAAGGCCACAAAGGACTGGGAAGCCTGCCATGTGAGAAAAGGCTGAGAAAATTGGGTTTGTTCAACCTTGGGAAAAGAAGGCTCAGAGGAGACCTTCTCTTTGTGTTCCACTATTTAAAGGGAAGTCACATGGAAAAGATGAGGGATAACAGGTACAGGTTACTCCTCGGGAGATTCCAGTTGGACTCAAGGAGAATTTTTCACCATGAGAAAAATCAGCCATGGGAATAATCTCCCCATGGAAGTGGTGGATTCCCCAACACTGGACACTTAAGATTTGGCTGAAAAGGGTGCTGGGCCACCTTGTCTAGACTGTGCCTTTGCCAAGAAAGGTTGGACGAGATGATTCTTGAGGTCCCTTACAACCTGTGATAATACGATTCTATGATAATAAAGGTTTGAGTGGGATGGTAAATAGATGGGCAGTATTTGTACAGGTATTGATCCTTTTGCTTGCTTGAATTCTTTCAGGTCTCCATGAGTTCGATGCCTTACAAGATCCTGAAGTGAAGGACTTCCGAGCCAAAATGCGGAGACTCAGTGAGGAAAAGATTCAGTCGCTTGTGGGTCTCTCGTGGATGGACTGGCTAAAGCACACGTACCCACCAGAACAGGAACCTGTTATCCCAGAGAGCTTCCAAGATAAGCTCTATAGTGGAAATCTTGTAGTGGCTGTTCATTTTGATAACTGCCAGGTAGGAATGGTTGTTCATCACGTTCCAGGTACTGTTCTTGATCCTGATCTGAAGTAGCATGTGATTGATCAAGGGTGTAAATGAAATAGAATGCTAACATTGTGTTTGCTCTAAAATGCAAATTCTTTCACCAGAAAGTGAGGATGTGAACTTACAGTTGTGCACTCCACTTCTAGACACAAATTGCGGTTCTACTTCTAAAGTCAAAATGTACAACTTTCATATTCTATATTATTTGATGTTTGTTTAAATGTAAAACATAATTCAAGGACTATTTTTGGCGAATTTTTACCGTGTTGCTTCACGAGTGTTCGATTTTAGGCTCAGGGGATGCTGGTGAATTGGGAGGCACCATATTCAACACACTTCTTTTTGTGTGTGATTCATTGTTGAACATCTTTGGGATTGATCTGCTAATTAGATTGAGCAATACATTTTTTAAAAAAAGGAGTTAGTATTCCCTATGCTAGACACACATATAGAACAAATAAAACACTAGCTGAGACTTAAAGTTACCTTTCTGTTTCAATGAACAAATCTATAGCTTATTTTTAAAATAAAAATTGCTTTAGTTTCCACCTAAAATGATTTAGCTAAGTTTTTTGATGTTGAAAATGCAAGGAAAACAACAACAATAATACTGATAGAGGAATATACGAAATGTGATTGATGTCCAGCTGCTCGCCAGCTGGAGCCCAAAGCCCAGCCCGCTCACCAAGGGCAAACCTGACCACCTTCTACAACAAAGTACCCTGTGCAGTTGATGAGGGGGGCCTGGTGGATTTTGACTACCTGCATTTCTCCAGGGCTTTAGACACAGTTCCCCACAGCCTCCTCCTAGAGAAACTGACACATTACGGTCTAGACAAGTGTTCTGTTCGGTGGATGGGGAACTGGCTGACACACCACCCCAGAGGGTGGTGGTAAATAGCTCTGTTTCAAACTGGCAACCTGTCACAAGTGTAGTCCCCTGAGGATTGATATTGGGCCTGATGCTGTTTAATATCTTCATAAGTGATCTGGATGATGGGGTCAAGTATACCCTGATGAAGTTTGCTGATGATACCAAACTGAGTGGGGAAGTGGGCATTTTGAAGGGAAACCACCCTGCAGGCAGGTCTGGATAGGCTGGAAGAGTGGGCTAACATGAACCTTATGAAGTTCAACAAGGCCCAGCAGCACAGGTTGGGATCTACCCAGCTGGGGAGCAGCTCTGTGGAAAGGGACCTGGAGGCCCTGGTGGACAACAAGCTCAATAGGAATGAACAGCGTGTTGCAGCAGCCAAGAGAGCCACACCTGGAATACTGTGTTCAGTTTTGGTCCCTGCTATGCAAACAAGATGTGGATGGGCTGGAGAAGGTCCAGAGAAAGGCCACAAAGGACTGGGAAGCCTGCCATGTGAGAAAAGGCTGAGAAAATTGGGTTTGTTCAACCTTGGGAAAAGAAGGCTCAGAGGAGACCTTCTCTTTGTGTTCCACTATTTAAAGGGAAGTCACATGGAAAAGATGAGGGATAACAGGTACAGGTTACTCCTCGGGAGATTCCAGTTGGACTCAAGGAGAATTTTTCACCATGAGAAAAATCAGCCATGGGAATAATCTCCCCATGGAAGTGGTGGATTCCCCAACACTGGACACTTAAGATTTGGCTGAAAAGGGTGCTGGGCCACCTTGTCTAGACTGTGCCTTTGCCAAGAAAGGTTGGACGAGATGATTCTTGAGGTCCCTTACAACCTGTGATAATACGATTCTATGATAATAAAGGTTTGAGTGGGATGGTAAATAGATGGGCAGTATTTGTACAGGTATTGATCCTTTTGCTTGCTTGAATTCTTTCAGGTCTCCATGAGTTCGATGCCTTACAAGATCCTGAAGTGAAGGACTTCCGAGCCAAAATGCGGAGACTCAGTGAGGAAAAGATTCAGTCGCTTGTGGGTCTCTCGTGGATGGACTGGCTAAAGCACACGTACCCACCAGAACAGGAACCTGTTATCCCAGAGAGCTTCCAAGATAAGCTCTATAGTGGAAATCTTGTAGTGGCTGTTCATTTTGATAACTGCCAGGTAGGAATGGTTGTTCATCACGTTCCAGGTACTGTTCTTGATCCTGATCTGAAGTAGCATGTGATTGATCAAGGGTGTAAATGAAATAGAATGCTAACATTGTGTTTGCTCTAAAATGCAAATTCTTTCACCAGAAAGTGAGGATGTGAACTTACAGTTGTGCACTCCACTTCTAGACACAAATTGCGGTTCTACTTCTAAAGTCAAAATGTACAACTTTCATATTCTATATTATTTGATGTTTGTTTAAATGTAAAACATAATTCAAGGACTATTTTTGGCGAATTTTTACCGTGTTGCTTCACGAGTGTTCGATTTTAGGCTCAGGGGATGCTGGTGAATTGGGAGGCACCATATTCAACACACTTCTTTTTGTGTGTGATTCATTGTTGAACATCTTTGGGATTGATCTGCTAATTAGATTGAGCAATACATTTTTTAAAAAAAGGAGTTAGTATTCCCTATGCTAGACACACATATAGAACAAATAAAACACTAGCTGAGACTTAAAGTTACCTTTCTGTTTCAATGAACAAATCTATAGCTTATTTTTAAAATAAAAATTGCTTTAGTTTCCACCTAAAATGATTTAGCTAAGTTTTTTGATGTTGAAAATGCTCAGATTCTCCTTGAGTCCAGCATTCCCATTAATCATTTTTGCACTGTGTTATTTCGGATAACAGTGAGAGATCAGCATTGGAAACCTTAAAATCTCACATGTGTTTAAATAGATCAGGCTACGTTTGGTGTCTGTTTTGACCTGGGTTCTGGATACTGATTTTCTAATGATTCGGCTGATTTTATTTACAAAACTAGATTATTTCTGATACTGTCTTTTTAACTTAATAAATGAAAAATCTAAAATGGTAAAATCATATCTGATTCTGGAAACGCTAAAACTGCAGAGGTGAATACTACATTATGATGTTGGATGCATAGGTGTTTTTGTGACAAAATCTTTTTCCAGTTCTCTTTGGCTTAGTAGAGGACTTGTAGTTGTCCAGGAGTGAGAATATCCCAGTGTTTGTCAGCTTTTGATGGAAATATTATATATATATGCATATGATAACAGTACAAAAGCAGTGCAAAAGTTCATGCTGGTGCAGAATGTGTTTGCCTGCCACTCTAATAGCTTAGGCTGCTGACATTTCAAATGTTTCGAATGCTTCTGCTGCCAGTTCTGACCTTCGAAGCTATTAACAGTTCAAATCTGAGACACTTTTTAGAGCAGTCAGCTCTGCTCCAGACTTTACTACTTGCACTGAGTACTAGAGTCGTCTCAGGAGAATTAAATTGGAAGGTGTGGGGACTGCTGTGTTTCTTCAATAGGAACACTGTAAGATTGAGAGAAAGGAATGTTAAAATACTCCTTGTCTAGAATGTGTGGGTGAGCTGCAGAAGCCTACTTAATTGTCTCTGGAGCAAGAGAAAGAGCCTGATCCCCATTTCTGTGACATAGGTGCAGAGACCTACCGTTTGGAAGTCAGGCGGCTGTCATAGAGCATCAGCTTCACAGGAAGACAAAATGTCATTCCCTGTCTACCCACCACAAGTCATGATGGGAGAAGAAAGCTTTCACAGTGTGGCAGCTTTCTGAAAGGGGGAAGCTGTTGTGAACCATGCAGAAACTGAGAAAATACAGAATTAATTTTGCCTGACTTTATGGAGTTAGATTTTTCCGTTAGGGCAGCTTGGCTTCTTACCAGTAAACTTCTATATAAATAAAGTATAAGTCAAAAGAATGTAAGCCAGACAACACTTCACATCTGTAAAGCACTGTTTTTAGAATGCTTACGTCTTCAGGAGCATGTGTGTATAAATTAAAAATGCTCTAAACAAAAACCCAGAACTCACCGAACCAACCTTTGCAAATAAGCAAGCGCAGAGCTTGATGTGGTAGATTAAGGGAGACAAATAATTTCACAGAAGACCTTTTACATTAGGATCTTCAAATGAATGTAAACCATTTTTTTTAATGTTTAAAAAAGAAAATAACTTCTTAACCTTTATCTCTTTAGAATGCATCAGAATTAGAGATATGTAGATATCTCTAATTTGTAGATATGTAGATAGACTCTAAAGGTTTGATTAAAAATGTTTTTGAAAATGCAGAGTCTTTCCATATTGTATTCAGAATGCTACAGTTACTGGCTGCTACCCCTCTTTTCTGCACTCCTCCAAATAAGGTGGTGTTATTGTACATAAATCACATTAACAGTTTCTTCTGCTTTATTACTTGAAGCTTTCTTTTCATTCTGAGTACAGTGGTACCTAGAAAGAGGATAACTTGCCAGTGGCCAGAAAAATTAACACGTGTAGTACCACTAAATACCTTGAAATGTATGGAGGATTTACTATCTCATTCACATTCTAAAATATACGTTTCTAGATCAATATGCTGATCTAGAAGTCTTTAAATCACTGCTGAACAATTAGATAAAGTTCTGTGTTCTTAAAAGTACTTCTGATACTATAAAAGTTTGGAAATTAACCATTTTTCTAGGGTGACTATTGCTTTGATTGCACTGAAGATGTAGACATTAACTGTAGGTGTTAAAATAGGCTGGTTTAACAGTTAAGTATTTCTACATATTTCATTGTGTATGCTACAATTTAAGCCTTGCATGACTGATTATGACAAGTTTAACATCCAGTATTCCTGTTTGTCTTTTGTTAGGATGTATTTAGTTTTCAGGTGTCTCCTAACATGAATCCCATCAAGCTGAATGAGCTGGCAATCCGAAAACGTTTGACTATCCATGGAAAAGAAGATGAGGAAGTTGATCCTGCTGACTATGTGCTGCAAGTTAGCGGAAGGCTAGAATATGTTTTTGGTGATCACCCATTAATTCAGTTTCAGGTACGTTAAGGCTCTTTGGAACTTTCTGTAATAGTTCTGCAGTGTCTTGGCCAAAATTTGACCTTGTTTTCTGTGCAGGGTCAGCTCTAGGAAACAGTAATATAATTCCTCTGCATGTCTGCAGCCCTCTCCACTTGTAGGATACATGTGCACCATTTCCTTTGTAATATATTATTTGTTTCTTTGGTTTGAAAGTCGCTGTAGAAATAGTCTGCTAGCTGATAACAACTGTTTTCTGTGGGCTTTTAGTATATACGCAACTGTGTGATGAACAGGACTCTTCCTCAGCTGACTCTGGTTGAGTGTTGCACCATAAAGAAAATGTGCGAGCAGGAGATGATTGCCATAGAAGCTGCCATTAACAGAAAATCATCCAACCTTCCTCTTCCTCTGCCACCAAAAAAAACAAGACCAACAACTGTAAGTTGATATGGAGAATATCTGATATCCAAACGTAACCGTGACTTATGGAATATAAATCATAGAATCATAGAATGATTTGGGTTGGAAGGGACCTTCAAGATCACCTAGTTCCAAACCTCTGTCCTGGGCAGGGACACCTCCCACTAGAGCAGGTTGCTCAAAGCCCCATCCAGCCTGGCCTTGAACACCTCCGCGGATGGGGCATCCACAGCTTCTCTGGTCAGCCTTTTCCAGTGTCTCACCTGGAGGACCACAATCACAATGTTTGGGAGTTGTGCTTCTACTTCTCTTTTCCAGTGTAGGTCATCTGAGTCTACTTGGAGCCTCCTGTTGCTTATGAGAAGGTTTACATTAGAAATAGCAGACCTTGAAGCTTTCTGGAAACTTCTTAGCTTCCTTTGCCTCATCTATCCTCCTTCTCCCCCACCATCTCCTTTCTGTTGCTTTTATTCACAACCCAGAAGAGGGGGTAATAATCTGTTACCAGAAACCGGAGAAGTTACTGCAGAGAACCTGGATTCTCCAGCTTAAGAGTAATGTGTAGGCTCCACCAGCTTCGCCAGCAGTGGTCTGTGATCTCTTCTCTTAGCCCAGATACCTTGCATGGTGCTGCCAATTCAACGATGGCAGTTTTTGCCATAATACACATCTAACTTTTCTTTTGATACGGTGCTTCATTTATTGCTGAAGTTACGGCCTTACAGCACAGTTACACTTTACGTACTGTCGCTCTAAGAAATGTGGACAGACTTTGCTGTATTAGACACTCTGTATATATGTACTCTGGATGAACACTAAATTTGAAGGGTTATTCTGAATTGTCAGCAAGTAGTACTGAATGTATGTTCCCAGCCCACTTTCAGCTGAGTGTTTTTTCAAATTTTTTTCCCTTTAGAGCATCTTGTATGCTCTTGTAGTTATGATAACCAATTTATTTTTTATTATTTCAAATGTATATTTTTAAACACACATCTTTTTTAGTTTTTATTTATGACTTATGCTTATAATGCTTTGCCTGTGAAATAGGTCTTAATATGTTACAGTGGTTAAGAATGAACTTGTATCTTTGTTTCCCTTCTCAGAGCGTATGGGATATTTCCAAACCTTTCAAGATTATTCTGTTAAAGGGTAATAAACTAAATACAGAAGAAAATGCCAAAGTAAGTAATTATGCCTAGTATCAGAAGGTGTTATCTTCATTTTAATGATTTTCAGTGTTCAGTAAACTCAGAATCTTACAGATTACAATTCAGCAAAAGTGTAAACATTTTTAGTTATTCATAGTTATATTGGTAGCATTGACTAAAATCTTGCTTTATTGCTGAAGTATTTCTTTATTGTCTGAAGTTGGGTACATGCATTAGAACGTTATCACTAATCATGGACAATATGACACGAATGTTCATATGGTACTTAATTTTTTTAAGACCGTATCCTTGAAGTACTGATATTGGTGTCACATCAGCTTATTCAAACTAAACTGCAGTAAGCATTTGCCACAAACAAAAGTAGATTAAATATTAAACATTTTTCAGTGGAATATAAGGTATTTTTGTAGTCCGGAATATATTCTGTGTGTTCTAAGCACGAATTGCATGCTTCTATACAATCTGTCTTTTATTTTCTAAACATGCTGAACACAAAAAAAGCGCTGTAGTATCACTTCCTGTAGCGATGTACATGAGTGGGCTACTGGCTGTTTTACAGACCACAAGTTGTTAACACATGGGAATTTATTGCACAACTACTTTAAGACCTTGCAAGACACTTGCCTGTGAGGTAGAGCAACATTAATTTCCTTTATTTTGTTTGGCAATCAATAAATTAAATAGCCAGTCCTGTAGATGAAGAAGAAATTCAATTACCCTCAGTGGCTAATTTGCTGTTTGCTGTTCAGATGCTTTATTCAGGATACTCGGTGTGTTGTTTTTTTTTCTTTTCTTTCAAAACTATTGTTACAACTTGCTTGTATATTAGCAATACTACATTTTACTGCGTGGCTAAGTGAGCCATGGTTACCATTCTACTACCTTGGACACTATGACTGTGGAAATGGATGTCTGCAAAAACAGATGTTTCCTTTTTCTTTGTCTAAACCATTATTTTGCTAGTTATTCACTAGTAATATCTTATTAACTCTATGTTCTGTAGAATCTGACAAGGTTTTTTTGTTTGTTGTTTTTAAAAAAAAAGGGAAGGGAAAAGGGAAGGTGGATTCCAGAAGCAACATATATATGAAGTTTGGGGGTTTTTTTTCCTACTTAGAAAAAGTGTGTTTTGGTTCGTTTCAGTATGCTTTTAAAGGAACAAGAAAATATCTTGATTGTAAGCTTGAGGAGAACCAGGAAAAATTGACACTTCTTTGGTATTGATGTCTGTGGGCATTATCTGAATGTTATGTAGTGTTTTGAATGCTTTTTAGTCTTGAAAACTTTGAAGTCCTGTAGTTACCCAAGACCAAGAATGCTTGTAGTAACCTTGCTTGTGCATGTTTCCCTGCATTGTCTGTCTACACTGTTAGGGAATTGTCACTATTTGTTTCCCAGTCCTGATTCTAAGGCTGTTTAATTCATTGCCATTGTTCTTTCAGTTCCATTGGGCTTCAGATCAAGCCAATATTAATCCATTTTTGCTGCAACCAATAACAGGGTTCCCAAATGCAGTGTTTGTAGTGGGAAACAAAATTTGTCAGATGGGTAGTGCTCTGCTGCTGTGAGCGGAGTGTTTTTACCTGGAGCACAAGTGGCTTCTTTCACCTGTCTAACACCCAACTTTCTGAATACATGACATTTGAAATTGCTTTTCTTTTTGTCTTCCTCTTTGGCCGTACCATCGGGACATACTGTTCCAGGGGTAAAAGGGGAATGTCAGAATGAAAAGAATAAAATTAGGATCCAATCCCTTACACTTACAGGATTGGAAATCACAGAATTGGAAATAGCCAAAAGGCAGGCAGAACAGCAGTGCCTTCTAACAATGCAGTGCTTTGTTACTAGCAAATCTTGTATGATTGCTTATGCTTTTTATATTAATAAAGTAAAAGAAAAGTCAGGGAAGTGTGGTGGCATATAAAGGTATATATCAGATGATAGCAAGTCAAAGAACAATATTTAAAAATGTGCAAATGTGAATTTAAACTCCTGGTTTTTAAAAAAAGCAAAAGGCAGATTTTAGAATGTTTACCATTGCTGGTGTTAAAGCACAAGCAGTTAATACACTAGACGTAATCATATTTCCATAACATATCTTTAAATCAGCAGAGGTAATTAATTATAAATTCGGTTGAACAGACAGCGAATCTCCAAATGGATTAATAAAGGACCATCTGGTGAATTGTTTCAAGGTTATGAACTCACTGATTTTAATCAGTTCTCTGTCATCAGCCACGGTGTTTCCTTTTTAAAGAATATGGTGCCGCAATCTTTAATTAGAGAGAAATAAAAAAGCCCTCTATATGTAGTCAACAAGAATATGTGTGTATATATGTGTAAAGTTACATATAGGTATGTACACACATGTATAGTCCATACACAGTTAGATTTCCTGAAATAAGATAACTTTCATGTGATCTGTTTCATGGATGTTCATGTTGCTGTTCTTAACTCGGTGATACACGGTGGTGAAGCTCTGCATGCCAAAAACTGGTAATATAAATAATTAAAAGTGGTTTTCATGAGTATTGCTGGGACTCAAATAAATGTAGTTTTCTAAATGCAGCTTTTCTTTCAGTGATTGGTTGTAAGCTTGGAAAGGAAATTGGGATTGTATATGTGTAAGTCAGGGAGTCAGTTTAATAATGGATGTCCCTATGGCACCTGTATCAAGCAGTGTAACCCATGGCAGTGTGTTCTCCAAGACCTCTGGCAGCCCTGTGCTGTGACAGCAGCCTCTTCATCGGTGGTAGCAATTGTTTTAGAGAAGTCAAAAATGATCAGAATGGGTGTTATTTGGAGACCATCTGTTGGTGCTACTAATGCCTTCCCCAGGGATTATTCTGGGCTGAAGACAGATTTGCTCTCCAGCATGACTCCATTTAAACTCCATTAAAACTACTCTTTGCCAATGACTAATTTATCTGAGCTAGTTTACAAATGGAGAACTTAGTACTGAGCAGTAGCTGGTGTAGCCAAAAAGATACGTCGAGATTGGGACTGCTTTGGTGTTGATCGCACTGTTGTTTCTTTGAAGGAGGGAAAGAGGCTCTCCCCTAGAACAGAGATTGCCTATTTCAGTTGGGAATTCAATGGTCAAGTTTAATTATTTTTTTGTCTAAAACCCGTACCAAATTTTAAACATCTCTGCCTTTCAGTTACAGTGCTCAAAAATAATACGGTAGTTGAAAGGGAACAATGGGAAGGTTGTTTGAGGAGCATAGGGAACCTGAAACAGCACTTCACCTATTACTTATGTAACTGTAACACTGAGAACAACTTCTTGGTGCTGACCAGAGTTTACATTTGTGGGTGTTTTGTTCTTTTGATTTTTTCTCTTTTAAAAAATCACTGCTATTTTGAAAGGTCACCTGAAAGAAGTTGACGTATTTCTCCTTGTTGTTTGCTCAGGCAACAAAAAGAAATACCTCTTTGCCATTCTTGTTGAAACTGTCCAAGAGTATGGATACTTGGAAACATGCAGGTTTTTACATACATATATTATTAAACAGAAATGCAGAAATGAGCCACATCTTAGCATTGACCTGTAATGTGTTTAATTTCAGTACCAACCACTCTCAACTTCTTTCTCTTCTTGTCCCTCTCCTTTCCTGTTCCTTATTTTTATCATTCAAAGTACCTGGTTTTGTTGGTTTCTGGGTGCTGAAGACAAAACAGAATTCCTGGGAATGATATATACACTGTTGTTGTTGTTTATTATTATTACTGGTGATTTCTAATGTCACACTCATCAGTGTTCCCTCTGTACATTTTTATAAAAAGCTTAAGACAAAAAATGGATTTTCTCCTAAGCTGTAAAACTCCAAAATTTTTCCCTATTTGAAGCATAAATTGGTTCTACCTGGAGATTTGAATTTGAATTCAGAAAAATAGTCTTACCTTTTTCATTCTGCTCAGTTGTTTGTTTCCTAGTATTTCCTTCTGTGTTAGGTATGTTAAGTTAGAAGCGTTTGTATATCCATATATTGTATTTGTTACTGCAAATGAGTTGTTGTTATTATTAGTCATATGTGGTAATGTAACTAATCCAGTACTGGAAAAATTCATAGCCAACATTATTTAAACAAATACATTTTGATTTGGCTGGGAATGTGAATAGCAAAGTAAAAAGAACTTGTTCTCAAGAATTGTTTGGTTCATTTTAAAACCTCAAAATTAGTATTGCTTTTAAGATAGAAATGTTGATGAAATGGATATGTATATGTTCTGTATAACATTCTATGCAGAATTCTGTAGGTTCTGTGGCAAGCTTAACTTTTCTCATTGCTTTATTGCAGGTTCATGTGAGGGCTGGTCTTTTCCATGGCACAGAGCTCCTTTGTAAAACGATTGTAAGCACAGAAATATCCGGGAGAAGTGACCACGTTTGGAATGAAGTACTAGAGTTTGAAATAAACGTCTGCGATCTACCAAGAATGGCAAGGCTCTGCTTTGCAGTTTATGCCGTGATGGATAAGATGAAAACTAAAAAGTCAACCAAGGCAATGAATCCTTCCAAATACCAAACCATTAGGAAAGCAGGAAAAGTGGTAATTATTGCATTTTTCTTGAGTGTACCTCTGAATTTTATTAAAATGAGTATTCAGAAATCTTTTGTTGTCCTCACTTTTGTATTCAAGAATGCAAAATGAAAAAAAAAATATTAAAGGAGCATATGCATTAAGAATTGCACATCTTGGTATGAAAAAAAAACTTTTCATACTTCTCAGGCACTGAAAAAGGCATGAAAATTTTGGTTGTAAGCCAGTTGGCAAATGGGTTTTTAAAGAATTCTATTTTAAAAGGTCAGTTTTGTTCTGAACTCTAGATGTAGCTGTGATTGGGAAAAGATGAAAAAAGTAGCATCCGAGCTCACATTCAGGGAAATGCATATTTTTACACTGGAAGAGTGACACCCTTAAAATTAGGCCTTCTTAGCCTGCTACCAGAGTACATATGAAAAACTGTGCATGTGTTTAACAGCTTTTCTGAAAGATATTACCATTTAAAAAACCCAACCCTTTCAATTTTACTTATATTGTAGTGCTTCCTGCATAGTAATGTTCACTGGCATCTTACTTTCCATGTAAAAATTCTTTCCCTTAACAGCATTATCCTGTAGCCTGGGTGAACACCATGGTATTTGATTATAAAGGACAGTTGAAGAACGGAGAACTGGTACTTCACAGCTGGTCATCATTTCCTGGTAAAGTTTAACTTTTAAGATTTGGACTTGAAATACTTGTAAGATTAAAGAAAAGTAGTATCAAATACTAGAATAATTACTTTATGCGTGTCCCATTCTCCTGTCATAGTCTCTTTACTACTTGTATTTTTTTATGTGCATACATATATACATATATTTAATCTCTTTCCTGAAAGTGTCGTTTTAATCTCTGTCCTGAAAGCGTCCATTTCCTGAAAGTGAAATCAGGAAGGAGGAAGGACAAGAGTCTGTTTGGAGACAGTATTCTAGAACTTTTATCTGTTATGGAAGAAAAATCACATAAAATTTTTCTAGTTATATCTGTTTTTAAGATGCAGTTTAGGTTTCATTTGGTTCCCTGTGCTGTGCATCCTCAGCTAAATAGATAAGCTATATTCTGTGTGACTATATTTACGTCAGCAAAAGATGTGAATTAGAATTTTTTTTTAAGTCTTCCTTCCCTGGCATTCCAACGGGTTAGTAAGAGTGTCTGAAATCTCCATGTCACTCTTCACTCCATCCTGAGAAACCTGTACCCATTTGGCTGGAATGCTGGCTTAACACTCTTCTTTTTTTTCTTACTATTTGATATAGAGTTTACAAGTTTCTGTAAACTTGTTTACAGAAGCTGCAGATTTTACTGGGACTCGGTTCAGTGTAGGGACATCTCAGCTTCCCTTGACTGTTATGTTTATTCTGGAAGAGAAAATCAGTTTCTCATTGGGTGATGATCCAGCATTTGTGAATGTGGGAGATACGGGTGGTTCATGCTGGAAATGCAGCACGTTGTAGTAAAATTGCTGTGCGACAGAACGTGCTTCTGTCCATTGGATTCCATAATAAATTTCTTATCGTGTCTTTGCCTTCAGACTTTTTAATTTTAGTACATCCCTTACCCGTAACATTAATTGTTCTGTCTAATGTTTCAGATGAACTTGAAGAAATGTTGAATCCAATGGGAACTGTCCAGACTAACCCTTACACTGAAAATGCAACAGCTTTGCACATTAGGTTTCAAGAATATTCAAAACAGCCTATTAATTACCCTCCCTTTGATAAGGTAAGGTATGGCATCCAGAGCATGAATGCTTACACGTAGATGGCTATTTCTTCTTTCCTTTCAGCACTGCCTTTTCAACTGAATTCCCCACTTCTTGCCTTTTAGTTGACACTCTGCACGTTGTTAAACTTGCTGGTGCTCTGACTTCAGGGTTTTCAGATAGTATTTTGAAGACTTATGCTTTTAAAAATACTTTGTACACGGTCTTTTGAGGGTCAGAAGCAGAATCAGTTTCCAATATCAGTGATGTTACAAAAAGCTAAACTTACCTGCCATTCTGGGAGCCTTCAATGTGTATTTGCCTGTGGCCCGGACAGATCTGATACCCCTTTGTACAAATGCACGTTATCCACTCCTTGGGATGCTTCTTGCCTCTATGAGGAAAATGTCCATTTAAGGATAAATAGAACCATAATTCTGTATCGAAAGGGATTCCTCAAGGTCTGCTATTGAACTAAATCCACTTAGGTTGCCCATAGTTTTCTACAGATATGGTAAGAATGTGTACTTAGAAAGGAAGTGTGTATTTAGAATACATGTGGTAGCATCTGTAGATAAGCAAGTTGTTCACAACCAGCAAATGAAGGTAAGGCTGGGAAACAAGTAATAAAGTAAGTGTTAAAACAGATAATGATGCATTGAAAAAACAAAGTATAACTCGCACATACGCTAGTCTGAATTTTGTTTTCGGGAAAGTTAATAAGCACTTAAAGAAATTTTTTTTTTTTTTGAGAGAGAGTTTTGTACCTTTGTGGGGCATGAACAAAAAGACAGAAGCCACCATGCTTTATCAGCTTCATCAAAGAGGAATTTTGGGGTTAAGATTTGTCAAAATTAAATCAAATAACAAGACAGATTTTTTTGTTTTGATTTTGGATTGGTTTTTTTTTTCTACCTTATTGGTGCAGTATTTGTTCTGGTATTAAGACAGCATTGGAAATGCATTAAGGGCTAAAATAGTACTGACTCATTGTCATCTTAATTATGGTTGCCCAGTTTGCTCTTCACACTGGACATATTTTAGTCAGTTTTGGTTTATTTGTAATGCTTCACATTTTTTGCTTGTTAAGCTAAATGTATTTAAACTCTAAAGAAAAATAGCTGCTTTTATGTGCATGCTACAAGCGTGTTAAAGCATGTTTCTTAAGTAATAGCATATTTGTTCTAGCTCTACTGTTCCTGTTGTTTGTACCTGCGATACCACATTTTCAGTATGTTAAGATGCTCAGGTGAATACAGACATCATATTCTTCCAAGTAATTTTCCTGATGTATTGACATTAAGGTAGTGTCTGATGGTCCTCACCATCCCATGTGACTTCCATTTGGCTGCTGGATTTTTTTCTTTTCTGGCTTTGCCCCCTTTTTGAACCGTACCTGAGAAATCCTGCATATTAAATCCCAGAGCATCTTTATAAAGTGATTGTGGAGCTGGTAATGAAACATTAATTGGAAGCATTCAACTTTGAGGAAATGCTACAAAATGTATGATTTTTTTTTTTTTAGCAGTCCTTTTTTTTCCAGTAACTTTGCTACTTGCAATTCCTTAGAGTTAAGAAACTAGCCTGCAGTATCACTGAGAAAATCAAAACTCTGAACTTTTTGATAATTCATTCCATTTCTGTGGGTATACTGAAATTTCTCATGAGGAAATGAGAGTAAGATACCCAATCTGTGAAAGATTCTGTTGGTGAAGGTCCTGTTGAAGCAGCAGGAACATTGTAGCTGCTTAAATTATATCAACTGAGAATCTGTTTTTCAAAATGTCTAGATGAGGACATGCTTGGTGTGTAGCTGCTTCTAATTTTTCCAGTGTTGTTGTTTGTTTCTGCCAAGAAAACAGAAACAGATGCCAGATCTTTATTTTAAGAAACATAATGTGCAAAAATAGATGCATCTTTTTTGATCATAGCATCAATCCACTTGCAGCGAAGGGCTGTTTTGAGGCTGAGTGAGCAAAACTGCCTTGATAAGAAAACTGCTGTCTGACAGTGTGACACAGGGGCTGTGTATGGGGCTGGTTAATGACCAGTGCTGCTGACACACCGAGGGGCTGGGAGTTCATTTGAACAAAGCTGGACTTGCAGAAACTTTTAAAGCTTATTTGCAAACGAAGTCAGTCTAAAAAGCACAAGGAGGCAATCATCAAACACAGAATTAGGGCATTGTGGTTTTGTTTATGCGTGTTTTCTCGCACAGTATGTAAACAAGCTTTGTAGCCAAGTAGCAGATGTAATGCATCATATTAATAAGCATTTCATACGGAGAAAAAAATAAAGCAAGGTAGTGTACCGTTTTAAGGACTTTAGCTGCTGGGTATTTATGCTCTGACTATTGTAGCCTTTTGTTGTTCCTCATATTGCCTGAGCAAAGACAATACAAGTCTTGCTGAACCTGTGTCTGGGGGTGGTGTTATGTTCCTGGGTGATGGGAGAGGCAGACTCCTGAGGGAAAGGAGATGGTATAGTTCCTTAGACTTCTTTCTTAATTGATATTTTGTTTTATTAATTGTTTCTCAAAGCAGCAGCATCTGCCAACTGCAGTTATACCTGCCTGACCAGTGCAGCTGCTCTGATGAGCCAAGGCAGTCACCACTCTAACACATCTCTGCTGGTTGCAGTAGTGTGCAGAATATAGTTTGGAGAACTGTATTTACGTCTGTACTTAAATACCCATCATGATTTATTACTTCAAAAACTAAGTAGAATGTTCAAAAGGCCAGGGAAAAAAGGGAGCAAGAGTAACTTGGAGCTGAGATTCTGGGGAAATGTTGCTTTGCTGTTAAGAAAAGTATCAGTTCCTGAGAGCCGCTGTATATTAAGCGGTTCTAAGAGCTTCTTGGTGGAATATTAATTTTATCATGAAATGAGTCCGTGTTGGAAGCTGGCTGTTTATGATGTTACACAAGGGAGGACCCTGGATTTAGAGAAATAACTGAAAGGCTAATTGAGATCATATGGGCAATTGGAGAGGATGGTGAAATGACTCAGTTTGAGGATTCATACTGAAACAAAGGGCTAGAAGTGTGGATCTGTGGGTGGTGGGTATCACTCCTGGAAGCAGTGCCCTCAAAAACAGCAGAAGTAGAGATGAGAAAGCAAAGGATGACTTCGAGTCGAGGAATTGGTTTGCTGTACTGGAAAATAAGGAGGAAATGCAAACAGAAACAGAAGACAATGTGACAGGGAAGACTGTTTGGCCCAGGAGTGATGAAGGAGGAGAAAATGGAGGTAATAATGAGCACTCCTTTTCCTGATATCCATAGTCCTGCAGATTAGAAAAGGGACACAGCATAGAATTCCATTTTATACCACTCTATGTACAAAATAGTAGTATTGTATTTCCTTATCTGATTAATTTCTGTAATTTTTATTCTTTCAATGCAGTCAGATTTGTTTATAAATCTAATGTATTCAAAAATATCTTTTTGCAGATACTTGAAAAGGCAGCTGAGATTGCGAGAAGCAGTGACAATGCTGCGATGGCGGTAAGCATCTGCTAAGAACTATTTTAAATTTAATTTTCTAGGGTTTTTTTGGTTTTATCTTCTGCATTGATCTAGAAATATATGTCAACTGTTCAAATGATGACAGTTCTACTGGTTCTGTTTTCTTATCTAATTCCCTGTGGTGAACTGCCTTAAAATTCAGGTACATATAATTTTTTTTCAATATATTTTGGACTTATTGGCTGGTTTTTTTGTCAAAAAGCACAATTGCTTTACGTACTCTATGGACTTGGAACACAGCTAAGATTTATATTAGATCTGGATCTGGAAAACATTCTTAGGCTTTATAAATATTGCTGGGAATTTGCTTATTTTTATCAAGTATGATGATTTGCTTGATTGTCATATATTTCTAAATAAGTTGTCTCAAAAATGGGCATTGATCTATAAGATGATGTTTCTTTAATATGGTGATTATATGCTCTTCTTGAGGAACTGGGTGGTTCTAACTTGAGGACAAATTTTTAGAAGGTCACCAAGATCTTGCAATGTTTTCTTTGTATTATATACAGAAATACAGAAGAATGCAATTTAAGGTGGTGAAAACATAGTAGTAGGAGTGATAGGAGTAATAATAGCTGTGTTTTATGTAAGAATAAAGCAGTTAATTAAAAATGTTTCAGTTACAATACCAAGAGCCTGAAGTGCTCAGGAAAAGTGAAAACTACTTAGGGTGCAAACAACTTAGTGTACAAATAATTGGAAACCTTAAATAGCAGCCTGCAAACCTGACAGTATTGGGACTTTTCATTTGAAAGATTTAACATTTTCAGATACAAGAATCACCTTTATTGTCAAGACCGTTAGTTTTACTAAACAAGCATTGCAATTCATCTAGCTTTTTAAAGACTATGCACCTCTAAAGAATTTATACTTATGTGGCATTTTTACATGAAAATATTTACTTAAAATATCTCAGCACAATACAAGGCCCAGGCACTTCTCATTTCTAGGAGGAGCTAAACTGCAGTTCTGTGTGTGGTTTTTTTTTTCGGTCAGGTGGGAAACCTGTGCAGAATGTTATTTGATGAGAGCTGTTTGTTTCTGCTATGAATCCTAATTAATTTTTGCCTACCATTTCTTCTGAGCTTTCCTTTGTTGTTTTTTTTTTATTCTTTTCCATTAATGTAAAGACCTTTAGCCTGCCTCTTAAAATTATGTAGAAACTTCTTCAGCTTTGTGAAGATAAAAGTTTGCTTCAGAATTTACAGCTTGCCGTATTGATTTTCAAAATATATATTGAAACTAATTTATTCCCTTCAACTGCTGCCTCCTTACCCTGAAGCAGCAGTTTCTTTTGTCTCCTGTTAATTTATGGAATGCTGTTGCTGCTGATGTCATTGCTTTAATTTCTGCCCTTGCAGTTTGCATAAGGGCATGGCTGGGACAGAAGGCATTAACTGAGCCAGAGTGAAGGCCCGTTCCTACAAACTGATTTACAGAATCGGTGCTAGTGTTAGTGTTTCAGAGAGATAAAATGCAGCAAAATGTCTGGAACAGACAAGTCTGGATTAGAAGACAAAAGAAAGTATGTGTTTGTATACTTAGCAAATGTACTTCTTTTTGATTATTGTTGGAAAAGTATTCTTTTGGCTTTTAATAAAAATAAAATTATACGTATATCTATTGAATTTGCTTACTCGAAAAACAAAAGGAGAAAGTATATGCATCCTAAATGAAACTTCTCCATGTTAGAGTTGGAAAATAGAAATATTGCCATCTAGTGTCATGAACTGTAAAGTTTAGTTATTTTTCAGAAACTTCAGTACGCTTACTTTTGAATCTATTAATTGCAGTTCTTATAGCTTGAGGAACCTGAAACCTGAAAGGCATAGTAGTCATTCCTCTGCGTTTCATGAGTTTTATCTGATGTTCTTCCTGGTGTAAGATTTCTAGTATTTGAGCTAAAATAAAAGAATCTTACTGAATATATCAAACTTCATACACTTCTTATTTTCTAGGGTCGAGGTGGTAAGAAGTTTTATGTTGTGCTAAAAGAAATAATGGAAAGAGATCCTTTATCTCAACTCTGTGAAAATGAAATGGATCTTATTTGGACTTTACGATATGACTGTCGTGAAAATTTTCCACAATCATTGCCAAAACTGCTGCTCTCTTTAAAATGGAACAAACTTGAAGATGTTGCTCAGGTAAGGGAAGAGATGGTGGTGGTGGGGAAAAACACTGGGATCAAAGAATGAGTAAATAGGGTTTCTTTCCCAAGTATAGACATTTTGAAATGCTACTGTTGTATATACTGTTGTATATACCAAAGTTCATTGTAGACTGGCTGTGGCCTGGGCACATAAGCAAGAACTTACCTTTAAAAAACAAAACCAAAAAAAAACCCCAAACCCAAAATGCATTTCTGAGGTCCTCTGAATGATGAGAGGGGCACAGCAATTATTTATACAGGCTAATTTTAAAATCTTGTGCTCAACTTTAATGTTAAATGCAAGGAGTTCCGCAGAATCACAGAATCATTTAGGTTGGAAGGGGCCTTTTGAGAAGATATAGTCCAATCCCCGGTACTCAAGCATGGTCACCTACAGCAGGACTGTGTCCAGCTGAGCTTTGAGTATCTCCACTGAGACTCCACAATCTCTCTGGGCAATGTTCCAGCATTTGACTACCCTCACAGTAAGAACTTCTTCTATAAGGTTATTAAAAAACAAGAAAAAGAGAAGTTTAAGTGTGTAAATCAAGATCTGAAATAAAGCTTCATCTAAAAATTGTTAAACTGCTCAAAGGCTATAAAAATCCACATCTCAGAGTGGGTAATTAAGCCTCATTGAGGCAGGCAGATGTCATGTTTCAAAGAGATATGACACCCACTAGTGGTACAAAATATTTTATTCTCATCACGTTGACTGAGGGTCTCTCAAAGTAACTGTAAGTAATGAAGGACTTGCAGACCGGTGCTGTGATACAAGATTACCTTTTCATCAAAATTGTGTCATTTGTTTGCTGTATAAATGTGCAAGGTTATTTCACTGAACTGTAAATAAGTTGATGCAGCTGCTTTTTTTTTCTGTATTTACCCAAGTAGAATCCAACTCTTGTGATGCTTTTTGGGAATAGCTGGAACCTTGATACAGGAAAAATTATATGAGTTTATAGTGAGACCATTCCTGCTTGATAGACTGACTAAAAAGTAATAAATAACAGATCCCTGGATTAGTACTGAAACTTCTCAGCCTGGTTGTGGACAGAGCAGGTGGAGCAAAGCCACAGAAGTGTGGGTGGTGGTAACAAGCACCATGCTCGCTCTGAGGGGGAACCCAGACGTTTTGTTTGTCTGCTCATCCTGATGGAACTGCACATTTAAGTGACACTCAGCTTCTTGTAGACTACTACACTGAGATAATATTAATATCTTTCCATAAGTCTTGTTTTTTAAATTTTAAACTATTTCTTTTCATTTCTAAGAAAACTTTGAGCTAAAAAAGCTTTGACGTGAAGGATTGATTGACAGTATAAATTTCTGTACTAGCTGCGGATTCTGAACTTCGCCTGTTTCAGGCGTGGTGTTCTTGGAAGAAAAGGAAACCACTCCATGAAAACTCAACTTCCATTTATTCATTGTGTGATTTTTGTGATTAACCCGTCAGTCAGAATCTTAGTTTGCCCTCAGCATAGAGTTTATTTTCTATTACATCCTTCCTACCAGCTAGATGTATATGTTCTGTCAACTTATAAAAATAAATTGTATTTCATCCTATTTCATCGTCTGTGCCATGAACTAACATGCACTAACAAAATGCAGCTCCCACACATTCCTTGCTCACTTTGTTCTTTCATGTGCAAGAATCCTTTGTTCCTTAGTAATTCCATTATGTCTTTCTGAATTTATTGTCTACTACTAAAAGTTATCTGGAAATACAAACCATAGAAATATAAGTATTTGTTTACTTATTAAAGTATATGAAGGAAAAAGCATTCTGATTGCTTGTGAGCAACTTTGAAATACAGCCTTTGGTAGCAGAGTTTTGAAAAGTTATTTGGAGTGAGGGTGTTAGCTGACAGCTCAAAGTTCTTTACATCTGGAATATTAAAAAATATGTATGAAGCATTTTAATTAAACAGATGGCTGAAAATATGTAGTCATCTTGCTTGTTACTGTGTACTTTCTGGAAGGAATGTAGTATTTATGTTTGGTGTTTGCTTATGTATAGACAATAGTGTCGTTTATATTTTAATATTGGTTTTGGCAGCAAGAATAGTCTTAATCTGAAACATGCCAAATATTTCTGTTATACATAGACATGTAAGTATTCCCAGTGACTTAACTTTTCAGGTAAGGCCTCATGAATTTTATGAATTCCAGAAGTAGCAGGACTCATAATTTATCTCTCATTAAAATTAAATATATATAGTATTAGCTGCGTATTGCAGTATTTATGCTGCTATGACACGCGTGCCATGGTACCAGAAGTTTTTTTAATGCCTATTGTTAGCAGTAAGCATTGCAGTAAAAGTCTTGACACTTAAGGCAAAAAGTTTCTAAAAAACCAAACAAACACGAAACCAACCAAACCACTCAACCCCACCCAAAACCCAACCAAACACCAGCTGTTTATAAGAAAATTGAACCAAATAACTGTATTTCTACTAATGCAGCTCAAAAGTAGTAAGGTGTTTTTCAGAAATGGAAATTAATTGTAGACCATCTTTAACCTATTAAAGATTCAGTGGCCCATGAAGTTATATATAGTGGATTAAAGTAGCCTTCTTATATTATTTACTATACATATTTCATCCCAGCTCTCATTGTATTGCAATATTTTAGTAGAATAGTTGCCCTGAAGGAATTCTGTTTGCCTTTACTGTTGTCATCACCTCCTCGTTCAGCAGAGTAGTAGGGTGGCAGAACTTGTTAGCAGAATTCACATTAGCAGTATTTATTCTTGGAGCAGAACTTAGCCATCATTAAAAAAAAAAAAAATCCACCCACTTTCAATGAAGTGACACCATCATTAATGAGAACTAGAGAGAGGGCAACTGATTTTTGAAATACTTGAAATAATTAGAATAGGAATACTGGCCTACTTAATTGCATTGTCTCTTAGAGTCAACTTGTCTTATTAGGAAAGAAATTGTGGTTATTTCTTTATAGAAAAAATATTGATAGACCAAGGCCAAATCTGAGTTTTCTCTAAACCTTTAGGTTGTTGTTGAGAATTGAGTTCCTCATTTTCTCACAGCTTGTGAGGAGTTGCAGACTGTGTGAGAGGAGTGTGCGGTATTTCATGTGCGAGGCATTTCAACCTCTTAGATACTGCAGAGAAATGTTAAGAACTTGAAACACAAGTTCTGAAATGTAAGATTTCTTTACAGATTAGATGTACTTGGAAGTTCTTCAGAGCTACCTCTCTGTTGCCAAAGCAGATGAGGGCATTTCATGGTACTTGTTTCTTTTGTCCAGATGTAAATATTATTTGTGATATCCTCTCACCTGCACATTTAGGAGCCCGCAGCACACCTGGGGTGTGGAGCCAGTCGGACTCTGCTTCTCTCTTAATAAAAGTTCTGAGGCAGAACGTGAACAGAGCAGAAGTGATTTGAGGAATTTTCTTGGCTGTTTTAGAAGTCATTTAGATCTTGCTTCCTCTAAGCTCATATCACTTAATGTTTGCTCATTGTAGTAAACTAAGAAATAATTTCAGCGGTCAAAGTGAGGAGCTCTGTATCTGCAAATAAACTTCACAGTTGATGTACACACTGTAGACCATGACTTTCAAAATCTATCGCTGGATATACGAGGCCTGTAGGGCCACTTTGACTTGACTTTTCAGACTGTATTTCAGGTTTTCCATTCATTTGGATAATTTTTAACAAAATGTTTCTACATTTTTGTTGGTTTTGCACCTGATTTAAAATTGGTTGTCTAGATGATCTGATACATTTGAAGTTTTTTACTGTGTGTCTGACAAGCATACCTGCCGCTTGCATTTTCAACATCTGTTATATGGTATTAAGTATCTGCTCAGTGTTAGTATTTCTTTCAGAATTTCAGAACAAGTATTCAGGATATGTAAGTGGTGATGGTGTCATTGACCCTTACTGAGCTATGGATTGAATACAGCTTGTATGTATGTTTCTGTGGGAATGTGACATGTGTATTTAAAAATACTTCTAATTTTACTTTATATCATTATGAATCTTTCATGTGTTTGTACCAGTTTTGGCCCATGGAAACAGTTTAATTGATTCTTTCTGGCATTGTAGCATGGCAACTGCTTTTACCCTCTCATTGAGCTGTGCCCATTTCTTGCCTTCCGAATTTCCCAAAAGGGCAGAGAAGGACCAGTTGAGAATCTGCCCCCCACGGTGTTTGAGGGGTGTGATGAGCGTGCCTGGTACATGCAGGTTGAGACTGTGAACTCATACCTGTTTGTCTTCATTGAACTGCAAGCGTTTGCTCAGCTAGGACAGAGTAGAAAACAGACATTTTTCACTATTGCTGTAACAGGATTACTAAATCATGAGGAAATAAGATCTTCCTGATCATTCAGATTTTATAAGTTGGTATTGAAATATGAAATGCCTACATTATCTAATTTGTAGGAAAGTGTGTTTTCATTCTGAGTTATGACTTCTTTCCTACAGACAGAAAACATCTTGTGCTGTTGATACAATGCATTTACACGTTCAAGCTTGTTTACTTCAAGGAATAGTGTATTGTTTCACTCATACAACTATATATATTATTAAAAATATACTGGCAGTGGGTAGCTTCATTAAAATGCAATGAACCCATTTATTTTATGAGATCTCTAGATGTTTTGCTACTTAGTAGTCCAAAATGATGCACTAGTGGGTTCTTAATTTTTTCCCACACATCATCTTTGGTACTGGGTTTTTTTTTTTAAAAAAAAACCTAACCTGAATCATCCTTTTTAGCAATTGATGTTCATTACTGTGCACAATGCATGTGTGAAAAGGCTCCATCACGTGAGGTGGATAAATATTTTCGGTAAAACAAAAACCCTCTTTAAACTTTTTTTTAATGGAAACCTTTTACCATCACCAAAATATTTATATGTTTATGAGAGCATTTACAAACCATTATCTAAATTTTACTGAAACTCTGATTCTAAAACATACACATCTGGGGTTACCTAATACTTGGTTACTGAGTGTCCTGTCTATGTGTGAAGAAACAGACTTTTTCAGGCTGCGTAAATGAGACTTGGTGCCACTGGTGCCAAAAACCCCAATCTGGACTATTTTAAAAGGTAAAAAACTGAATCAGAAGTGGATCCATTTTCCCAGAATTATTTCTTTCTTCCCGCCTCCCCCTCCCGATCAGTCTGTAACCTCATTCTGTTGTTTTGATCATTTATGTTCTGTATTATGGGCATTTATACCCATCTCTTTTCTTAAGTAGTTACTTGACCTGTCACCTAATAGTCATCTTTTTAAAACAGCTTCAGGCTCTCCTTCAGATATGGCCCAAGCTGCTGCCTAGAGAAGCGTTAGAATTGTTGGATTTCAATTATCCAGACCAGTATGTGAGAGAATATGCAGTGGGTTGTTTAAAACAAATGAGGTGAGTATATTGTATTAATTCAGCATGCAAAGATTTCTGGGGTGAAAAACTGCATTCTGTTTGTCTATTGGAAGAAAAAGAACCCAAAGAGGAAAGATTTAACTGTTGAATAGATGACCAAATAAAGCAGTCTAATTTCTAGGTAGGTATATTGGCAGCCAAATAAAACCTTCTTATTCTGACACCTGGTATTCAATGACCGTTATTTTCCGTGGTGTTAGGGAACAGCCTTTGTTCCAGAGAGGGGGGTCTGCTCACCCTTTTCTTGGACAAAGGGGGCACCAGGATTGTGTGAGAACTTTTTATTACCAAAGGGACAAAGCATTACAGTAGTCAAATCCTATAAAGCTGCCATCCGGCCACCTCCCACTCTGTGTCAGGTATTGGCGGTATCATTTAGTAGAAATGTGAGCTGTAGCATATAATAAAAAACTCAAGAGAATCACTGATTTGTTTGTTCTTCGCAGTAGCCTTCATGTTCTCCCTTTATCACGTATAATTTTGTTCTTCACTGTAACGTAGGGCAAGATTTGTATAATATTATCATTTGCAGCATTACTGCATATTTCCTGTCCTTGAATTCTAAATTCTCTGTGGTGAATAGTTTAATGATTAATTTTTTTAATGGTCAAGGCTAGATTGTGGGGTTAAAAAAAAAAAAGGGAATATTTTGACTTCTTTCAAATGCAAACAAGCAATTTAGCTGCTGGGTTATACTAATAATACTGAATTATTGCATCTGGAATGATTTCCAGAATTCTCAGTTCTGGCTCTGGAGCAAAACTGTGTTCAGTTGCGTGTCAGAAATCAGTTTTCAACTTCTTTAAAAAGCCTGAGGAAGGCAGCTGGTAAAAGCTGTAACCTAAAGGTGATTCTATTAGCTGAAATAAAATAAAATAGACAAAAAAAAATGCAATACAGCATGACTGGAAGTTTTTACCAAGGTACTGATGTTTTTCAGAGTGAGATGGAGAGAATGAAAAAATTCAGTATGTGCATCTCTGAAGTCTTAAGTGATGGACAGAAGATGTTACTATTAATTTAAATTCTGCAGGCATTTTATAAGAGAAAAGATACTAAAAAGTCAAGAATATTCACATTTGTTCTAGAGTAACATAATTGTCAAGTGTGAGAGGTTTTTTGAGGGGAGGGTGATACAGGATTTTACAGAAAATTATTAGAATTATTTTTATTATGCCATAATATTACTTGAAGTTGTTAATTAATATAGAAGCTTTTCAGAGGTGTGTTTATGAACTGTGAACTAAATACTTAACTTTGCACTTCTGAAGTAGGAGTAATTTGGGCACTCCTTGGTTTCTCAAAGATTATGTACTTTTCCTTATACTCTAAAAACCTTCATGTTGTTGGTATGATTTTAACAAACAAAAAAACCCCAAACGAAACATTTTGGCTAAATGGATCACTTTGTAGGTGTATCTTAATACCTATTCACTGTCAGGTAGTTATTTTTAAAGGTAGGTTAATTGAATTGCTTTCAGTGGAATGAATACTCTACTCCCCCTTTGTAAACTGAGTGACTTTGATGGGTACATGCGACTACTGTCAGTTCCTGTCCATGCCCTCTGCAGCTGACTGCTCAGTTACAGGGGTTCTTCACGTGGTTCCAAGGGTCCAGCTCCTCAATCAGAGGTTGAGTAGTCAAAGGGAGCCAATTTCCAGTCTGAAATAATTTGAAATAATCTCCTGGGTGCTTAACCTAGCACTCAGGCTGAGATCTTGATCTTGTAAAAAGCCCATGACAGAACACCGGGTTTTTACGTATAGGTTTGAGGGCCCTAAAGTTCTGTTTGGGATATAATTTACTGATGGATTGATCAACCTGGCTCTAAGTTGTACGTTATTGTCCTTCTCCATGTGACTGAAAAATTGGGGAACACTTTTCCTATTGAAATAAATCGGTAATTGTTGGAATTGTCAAATGCATCTGAATTTCTGGAATCACATTAATCTGGTTACACTGTTACTAACTGCTTTTATGTACCTCATTCTAGTGATGAAGAGCTCTCTCAGTATCTTCTTCAACTTGTGCAAGTCCTGAAATATGAACCTTTTCTTGATTGTGCGCTCTCCAGATTCCTGTTGGAGAGAGCACTCGCTAATAGGAGAATAGGACAGATGTTGTTTTGGCATCTAAGGTAGGAGTTTGTCCCTTACGTCTTTCTGAAACTGTTGAGCTTGATTGGACTTTCAAATATGGTTTCTTGAGGCTTTTTCTAGTTAGGCATTGTCATAGTCCCCTACAAGTCCTCTTTATGTTTCTTTACCCTTGGCATTTATAGATCAGAGCAAGCCTATAACTAAAAAGTATTACAATGGTTTGTAATCTACTGTTAGACAAAAGTATTCTCAACTGCGTTCAGCTCTAACTATCTGAGAAATTAGGTTTGTATATAACCTTAGATGTTTGTTTTGGCTGTGCATGCAGTAGAAGTACAATATTTATACCTCACAACTGAGAAAAATTTATATTATTGTTGAGAGTTTAAGAGAAAATAAAAGCGGTTCTATGTGTCATTGCTACTTTTGATGACCAGTTCCACATGACAGAAACTTTGCAGAATGGACTATATATTGATTCTGTCTTTAAAGTATGATCTAGTTTAATATTTCTAAAGAAAAAGAGCAAGTACTACATGAAAATGTTTTGGAGGATAATTGGCTCCGGTGTAAGGTTCAGTGGGTTATTTCAAAGTGTTCCTCTTCAGGCAAATTTTGAGTTTTCCCTTACAAAGATTTGAGAATGCACAGTCTAACATCAGCCCTTATTCTCAGTATCATCTTCTAAGAGTTATCAGTACTGCTTTCTTGAATAAAAGGGGTTCCTGAAATAAAATATCTAATCACTATCTCTTAACATTACTGCCTTCAGAACAATCCTAGACCTTGAAATAAGCGATGTGCATTGAAACTGGCCAGTCCTTAGTGTTCAGCACAGAAGGGGTTTGTTTCTTCAGAAATCTAGCTTTTTATTTTATTTATGTGATCAAGGTTAGGGTTGGGGTTTTTTGAGGTGGGGTGGGCATTTGATTGGTTTGGGTTTTTTCCATTTTAATGGCTTGAAGAATGCTAATCTGTAAATACTGTGGTCTGATAAGAAGCTTTTCTTCTTACAGGTCAGAGGTTCACATACCTGCTGTTTCAGTGCAGTTCGGTTTGATACTTGAAGCTTACTGCCGAGGAAGTGTTGCTCATATGAAGGTGCTTGCAAAACAGGTATAGACTTCCCTTCTCCTTTAAATCTTGACTTGTCCCAGCTTGTAACTCAAATACTTCTTCCATTGCTCCTGTGGGGCTCCTATTGGTTACCTTGACAAAGTCCATCTGTTGGGGAAGGTTTGGCTGTTGTTGGGGTTTTTTGGTTGGTTGGGTTGGGTTTTTTTCCATTTTAATGGCTTGAAGAATGCTCTGTGACCAAGGTTAGGGTTGGGGTTTTTTGAGGTGGGGTGGGGGTTTGGCTGTTGTTGGGGTTTTTTGGTTGGTTGGGTTGGGTTTTTTTCAAAATTAATGGCTTGAAGAATGCTAATCTGTAAATACTGTGGTCTGATAAGAAGCTTTTCTTCTTACAGGTCAGAGGTTCACATACCTGCTGTTTCAGTGCAGTTCGGTTTGATACTTGAAGCTTACTGCCGAGGAAGTGTTGCTCATATGAAGGTGCTTGCAAAACAGGTATAGACTTCCCTTCTCCTTTAAATCTTGACTTGTCCCAGCTTGTAACTCAAATACTTCTTCCATTGCTCCTGTGGGGCTCCTATTGGTTACCTTGACAAAGTCCATCTGTTGGGGAACAGGGAAGAGAAGAATGTGAGAGAGAGAAATAAAAGCGCTAAATAGATGGAGGATGGAGCTTTCTCCCTGGCAGAGAAAGCAGTTCGTGCTGTGGGGCCTCGGAGGTAGGGAGCTGGTTTTATAGTGTCCTGAGATGTGTGAGATACCTTCAGCAAACAGAGCAGTAGGCTGGCTGGATTGTTAACTGAGGAAGGGTTTCTGTGCACTTGAAACTTGGGACCTTTTTTCCCCCTCTAAGGGTAGCTTGTTCAATAGAAGCTGTTGCCTTTCTGTCTAAACTTTATTTAGGTGACTCCAGGACTAATTCCTGCAGCTTTGGCCTTTGTTAAGAGGTGATGTGAAAGCCCCTCAAATTATAGTATAATGTAGTACTCCCTGGTGATAGAAGTGTTGAGGTAAACCAAATGCTCATTTTAGTGTTAATATAGATGTGCTACTTACCAAAAAAAAAAAAAAGAAAGAAAAAAAAAAAAGAAGATATGTTTGCTTTTAAATAGCCTAAAAAGGTTTGCTTTTAAATACACTAAGTTTATTAGTAGACACACTCAACAAGGCATGTTTGAAGCCTCTAGTGCAGTTTATCAACTTAATTTAGATTGCAATCATAAAAATCTTTAAAAAAAGATCTCTCTCTGGAGTTAATCTATTAACTGTATCAGGCCACAAAACCTAACTGAATAGATATTAGTCTGATGAGTGTAATTTCTAACAGTTTTGATACTGTCTACATCGAAGCTGTGCTTTGAGCAGCACATGGAACAGGAGGGTACTGTTGTGCTTTTTGCTACTGCAGTTGACAGGACACTGAGAAGACCATCTCTTACACAAGTGTGCTCGTTAGTATTGTCAAACTCATAAAAAGATTAGGTGATGAAATGCTTTAAGCAATAGACCTAAGGTCAGTACAGTTTTTGTGCACTTCACAGGAAACAAATGTCAGTACAATCAAAGAAGGGGCAAAAAAATTCCCAACTGTGCAAACACGGAAGAAATTCAAAGTAGAAATACTTCAAAAAGTTCCTGTTTGTACAACACGGGTTCCATTTTGTTCCCCTGTCGCTGGTGTTTGTACAGCTCCTAGAATAGTGGAAAAGCAGAGCGCTTTTGGTTTTGACAGATGGCTGACCTGGCAGGTCTCCGTTGCCTCACTTTTATAATCAAACTGCGTACAATTTCCACAGCATCCTGCCTGACAGGGGTCAGTCTCTCTGTAGAAGTGGTAAGTTTTGACTCAGCACCTTGTAAGTTAGCCCGAAGCTTCCTTGTATAGAAATGGACTTCTGTGATTATTAAGTTGATGCTCTTTGCTAGAGAATGTGTGTATTACTCAGCGCGTTAACTGTGGCTAGTGCAAATATAGCTGATTGTTATAACAGCTATTTTATATTTGGCTAACAAGTTGCTCAGATGTAGATGTGATGTAGAAATTATGTCTGTCGTGTGTGCTGTCTAGATTTGTTACTGAAGGGCTTTTCTCTGTAAGTGTTATGTACATGTAAATCACTAGTTTGCAAGTTCTCTTAGAAGTTATGTACCAGTACAAAAATTTCCAAAGCAGAAGAAGGGGAAAAAAGGGTTAAAACCACCTGTATTGATTGCAAATAATTGCCTTGCCTTTTTAAACATTTTTAAGGTAACAGTATTGCTTAGATGAGATACTATGATTTGGAACACCTTAATTCATTACAGCATTTACCTTACGCCTAACTTCAGTGGGATTTCAATAAACAAACATTTAAGACTCTGTTAAAGTTAAGTCTGTAGTTACATAAAAATTGTCTGCAAGGAGTCAAATGGCCGTATCATACTGTGTGCAGCTAATGTGTGTGATGAGACATCTGCATCCAGGGCTCATCTCAAGCAATGTTTGGTTTTTGTTAGAGGTGTGAAGCACTCAGTGTTTCTGTTGACTTCAGTAGGGATAGAGGCACCTGTGTTATGTGCTCTGTTGAATTAGGGGACGGAAATTGTAGTTTGAAGAAGGAATTTGGGTAAATGTATCATACGTTAAAATATCTCATTCGGTTTTTTGGAAATGTTAAGTCATGCTTTAAACAGTGACTTGAAGCTTCACTCCATCAATGTCTTTCTTACTTACAAAAATGGTATTTCTGGGATATGAGCGACTTAGAAAAGGCCTTTCTCTTTTTTTTTTTTTTTTTTT